GGGGTGGGGGGGATTCAATGCCGTTGTATGCAATGCACGTTTCGTTAGGCTCCTCCGTACCGTAGAGAAATGTTAGCACCGCCACGAACACCGGGACGGGGCACGAGGAGCAGTTTTACGGTCAACAATGTCGGTTGTTGTCCGGGGAGCCGCACATGAGAGCCGTGCTTGTCCGCGACTCCAAGAACTCCTGTCGGAGGGGTAGTTCGGTCACCTGGTGGAGGGAGTGGGTCCTGGCGGAAATCACATATGTCTTCGCTTCCCGCTGGCCGTTGTAAAGCGAGGAATTGCGTAGACGCGGGGAGGGGGAGAGGGGGTATTCTCGCACGCTTGACGTGTCTCTTTTTCCGAGACCGCGGCAGTGTGTTATGGCTCTTGGTAGAGGTATCCAACGAGCAACTAAAGGGGTCGGCCTTGGCTGGATATGGCTTGGAACTAAGTGGTAAATCGCTGTTTTTTCTTCACACGGGAGTGGAAGGGAGGTTGAAGGGACGAGGAGTATTATATTCGCACCGGGCTTGCACTCTTGAAAGGCGTTTTTACCGCAAAGCTTCATTCATGCACGTGTTGTGTTTTTAGTGTTTGTGATTGCACGCGCTTTGACCGAGCAGCGCGAGCGAGAACGCCTTGTAGGGGTGACTATGTGTTTTTTTTTTCGTTTGGGTGTTCAGGATACCCGACACTCCTCCCCGTGGGCGTGTAGTTTGAACTTCGTAGTAGGTGGCACGATCGGTCCGCCCTCTTGGGGTGCATTTTAGAGCGTTGGATGGAGGTTGCATGGAGCGGCAGGGGTGGTGCAGCCTTCCTCATGTCGTATTGTACAAAATAACAAAGGTTGGCTTTCTCTGCGAGCCCTTCTGTCTGGGGCTGGGGAGGGAAGGTTTGGTGTGGTCAAGATGTAGTTTGATGGCAGCCTGGGGCGTTTTCGCTGGTACGCTGATTTTAGAAAGATGGACAGAAGAAGTCGAGAGTGCAAGCCAGCCCCACTACATAGAACAAGATGCACTTGCCGAGAATACCACCCACGACGCCGATGGTGGGGTGTGTTGACATGCTTCCTTGCGTCCTGGGCCCAGTCTTTCGAACCACACTTATTACGTAGTTGTCGGCGTTGATGCCGTTCATTGTCATCGTTTTTTAACAGGGGGTGGGGGCGTGCACTGCGTGTGTGTGGGTTCTCCTCTCCTTCCGCACAACAGCGAATGGTCGGTGTACTTTACATAGTAGGCCCTTTGCATTCCCTCCCTTCTCTTTTTGTGTGCATTCGGGTGTGCCTGCACTCTCATCGCCTTGAATTCGATCGAGGTGCGTTTTGCACCCAATGTGAGCCATACAACCGTAGTAGTACAGAGTGATTTCCTTTCATGGGCAGGCGTTTATTGAAGTGTTAGGCTTGTATGTTTTTCGCGTAGTAAAGAGCTTGGTTTTTTTATGCGCGGCTTCGGCGTAGAGTTTGTATTGCGGTCGCCTGGTGTTCGGGTATGTAAAACGTAGACTAACTTTGTTGGAGAGCCTGGCGATCATGCCGTGCCGGGCGATGCTTGATGTTGCATGCAAGGAGTCTCGCCAGTCAAATATGTAATATTTAAACTCGTGCACCTGTCATCGCCTCTCTCTGCGCTCAACTCTAGTTCTTCTGACTTACCAATCTTCTTTGTTTGCGTCACATACCTGATAGACGAGGAAAAAACAAGCGAATGTGCGATATCCGTTGTTGTTTGCAAGGCCCGTCACCACACACCAATAGGCGTACGAAGAATAATTTGGACAGTCCACCTCCAGGCTGCCATCGATGGCAACCCCACATCGTGCATGTTCCGGGCAAACGGGCAACCTCACCACTAAATAGTATGTTCACCTTCCCTCGAGAGAAATGGGCACTTTTTTTCTTCTCTCCTCGGCGTGCGGTGACGTTGATATACAGCAGTACTCGTTGACCCCAACTTTCCGCGAAAATGACCAAGAGCTCTGCAGCGAAAGGTCACGCCGCGCCAATCAGTGACTTTCATTATAGCCTTCAGGCCAGCAACATCACGGACGACGGGTTACTATTCGTTTACAACATATGACCTAAAACCTGCCGGGAGAAAGACAAAAAGCAGCGGTTCGCGTGCGCCGTCACGTTACAGCAGTACAATCCAAAAGGGCATGAACACCACAAAGCAACCGAGAACAATCATACAACAATCAAGAGCGACAGACACAACGGACGGCGGGATGCTGCACACGCTCTTAGCATCTTCGACTAGGGTACACCCACCCACGCTGCTCAACGCGAGAAAAAAACACAATACCGGTACACGCACATCACGGCCGAGGTACGCAGAGAGCACCATGCCTGCGCTAGCTTCGACCCGGGAAAACATAGTCTTCTTATCTATTTCCTTAACGTGTACTCCGGCGCGCAACAATGAATGTTCACCGCTCAACGGGGCTAGATACGAGATAAAGGCGTACGGCGTTCGCGCCGCCCATTCCGGATCAAAGAACGCTCCAAACGACCTCGTGCTAACTAGCAAACGTAACCTCAACTCCAGGACAAGTATGGCGATCCTGCACGTTGCCCCCGGTCCACGCACCACGCACGGGTAGGTATTTACCGCGACAATATTGCCGCGAATTTCAACCGATCAACGCAAACACGACGACACCTACTGTTAAGTCTTACGCGCATGACCCTACACAAATGTAGCAGTCATCCCAGTTCTTTGTGGCCAGCTAACTGCAGGCTCTTGCGATTGAGACATTTGAGACTGCCCACAACCGCAGGGACCGCTCGCTCCCTCCCGTCCTTCGCCTATCCCCAGCGGACAACCCAACACTCTCAAACAGACCTCATCACCACTTCTCCTGGAAAGAAGGAGCCCTCGGACTCCGCAAAAAAACAAACGAACACAAGGCGGAGTCCTGGTAGATTGTTTCAAAGCAAAAAAAAAAAAAAATGCATGAGACGATTCAAGACGTACTTCCGCCAAGCTAAAACTTCCGTGCAAAGCCAGCATTGCCTGGAATCTGCACGATCTTGAACACAGTTTTAAGTACCGGTACGCAATAGCCCTGTAAGTGAAAAGCTCACCCTTCATGTTCTTCCTAGTTTAACGAAGCCCACTACCGTTCTTTTTTTTTTTCAGTCGCAGTACAACCTGGCGCCAGAGAGAGTTATGCCCATCATCTTTTTCGATCATCATTTTTTTCGATCGCTAGGGGCAACCCAAAACCAATTGAAATCGCCCACAGTGCGCGCATCGTCACACACACACAAAAAGGCACGTTACCATCTGTACCGACCGCAAAATTGTTACCCGAACAACTCAATCCCTGCGCGAAATTAATAGGGCTCTCACAGGCAGCATGGATAGGTCTCTGGCCACGCCCTCTCCGTTGTGTATAACTTGAGCGCGTTTCTAAACTGGTCCCAAACACCCCAAAATAAAAATAAAAAAGCAAAGCACTACTCGTTGACTCCCCTTCACTGCCGCCTCCTCTCGACTACTCGAAGATCGAACGGCCAACACGGAACTCTAGGGGGAGGGTGCACTCACAGTCGCGCATGCCGTATTAGCCGTTATTAGACCATTGACCTCGCACCCCTGGAAAGCAGGGACGGAGCACGTCGGGTTCTCGCCGGACCAGGCTCTCACATCACCAAGCGCGAAGCGCCGTGAGGTATTCGGCATCTTGAGGGGGGTGGTGGTGCACGTAACGGTACTCAGAGAACGCCGGCTCGACAGCACCAGCCCCAACCCCCCCCGCCGCGCTTCCAGCATAGATTACGCTTGCAGCTAAAGACTAGCAAACGCTCTTGCAATACGCGCTGGAGCTGGACCTCGTTCCGAGCGAGAGTCCTCCGATCATGCCGGCGACCCCGATGACGGCGCAAAGAGCACCGGCAATTACGGGGTGCCAGCAACCGTCCGAGCCGGAGGCCGGGAGACCGGCGGTTGCGCCGCTCTCGTCCCCGAGTCTAGCCGCGAGGTACGGCTGAGGCATCACCGTGCAAACCTGCGATTTGACAACCAGCGTGTGTTCGTTGAGTTACCACTTGTTAATTGCAAGGACGTCGTGTGTATGCTGGCATCAAGGTCTAGTAGGAAAGGGCCAAAAACCATCCATCCCTATCGTACGAGCAACGCGGGAAAAGGCGTGCAACAATTTGTTTCGCGGTACTGGTGTAGAAGCGATGACCCAACAACCGGAGATGTGCGCAAGCAAAACAACACCTCTACATTCCAACAACACCGATGAATCCACATACATACGCGGGAGGAACAGGACTAGTTTACATACGGTAGGTCTCGACATAGTGCTGGTAATTTTTCTTGCCACAGCGAAAGGCCTCGACAGTGCCAAACCGGCACTAGTGAGGTGGCCCACTATAGTGCCGGTTCGGGCACTATCGTACCATCGTACTCTTCAATAGTGCCGGTTCAGATCACACACACAGCCTTTCTTTGCCTAAAGGCCGACCACAACAACAGGGTTTGGAGACGGGTTAACTCCGAGCTGGGTCGTTTTTTGTCGGTACGAACTCCTGACGGCTTCAAACTTTATGCTTTACTGGTCAACCAAATTCCATGACAGCCGATCAGCCAACAGGTGGGATTGATTTCAGTTGTAGTGAGGCGGGCGAAGAGCAGGATGATGGTAGTGGCGAAGAAGGCCGAAAGGGAAGAATAGAGAGGCTTAGCAGCGATGATGGAGGAGTAAAATAGATAACTTGGCAATGACGAGAGACACAGTTTCGAGCCAGATGACCTTCCTCACAACAAACACCGCAGGACTAGAGATCGACACCCAAAAGTGGAAACGTTAGCGAAGAGTACAAGGAAAACGATGAAAGCACTCCGAAGCGAACGTGTGTGCAAAGCGGTAGCATTGGTACAAACGTGATGTCTTGTTCTGTTGCTGCCGTCTCTCACGTTAAATCTGGAAAATAGCTTAGCCTCCCGCATGGCACCCCCTCACGGGGTCCCATACCATGGCTTGAGAAACGTTTCACGTTCTGTTTCAAACCGCAGTGGGATTGACGTACTTTCCTTGGTCAGCCGGTTAGCAGTGCGGTCGATGGTACGACTAAGGCACAGAGACATAGATTGTTGCCGTGCACACGCCTCACACAACCGATAGCGGTGCACGTGCTGCTGCTGAACACCCTGACAAACCAGCCCTACGCAGAGGGCAAGGGGGGTAGATCAGCATAATGGCTACAGAGGTCATGGCGCTATTTTTAGCGGTCGTTTTTCTTGCGTCTGAAGGATTGCTGTATTCTTCACTCCTTTGGGTTAGCGTTGTATTGTATGTGAGGGCTATTGCAATCAGGCAAAATTTCCCGTAAATTTTCCCCGAATCGTTTCCTCGTGCAAGTGCAGAATACGGAGGCATTTTTTACCTGGGGAGAACCGGATCGGGGAAGGGAGCAAGGGCAAAAACAAACCTTCGTCTTCCTTTTACAGATCCGGTTAGTTGTTAGTTGACTGAAGGATCGGGCGCTGAAACATGACTGACAACGCTAGCAAAGCCTGCCAGGCTCACGCCCAGGTCCATAGCGAACATTTTCCAGCGGCAGAAGCCGGATTCAGTCCGTGGTCCAAACTGAGATATTGCATGGCCATCTCATCTCTGACTGATGCTGTTGATGTTCGGTCGGGTATTTTCTCCATCACACACGACAAACACGGAAACAGTACAAGTTGTAGAACGAACACAACAACAGCGCCAAGGCCTCCAACGCGCTGATTCCTTCGGCTCGCTCGCTGTGCCGCTTCGTGGGTGTTGAAGGCTCCGGTGCTGCTCAAGAAGGTGTGTGAAGGATGTGTGCCACCTCGGGCAAACCACCGTTTGACAATATATATGCGGTGAAATGGCCTGTTCTTGATAGGAGACATAAACACAAATCCACGGCACCATGCAGCACTAGAGCAACAGGGCCTCCGACACGCTCATTGTTTCGGATTGTCACGTATATGATGCTGGCCCTCAGCGCCGCTGCCGCCCTATCATGGTTGAGCTCGTCTACCTTTCGAAACGTGGTGGTCAAAGAAGGGGGTTGCAATGATGATACAAGAACCGCCAAACTGAAGAAACTGAAAGCAACACCCAGGTTGCCACACTCCGCGCTGCGCCTGTTGCTGAAAACAGCACGCCGGGTGGACGGGTTCTTACTTGAGTGTCCTGTCCTTTGTCTCGGGTGCTGCTCTTTGTGCTTCCGCCGCTACTCTATGGTGAGCTACACCCAGTCAGTCTGCTGTATGTCGACCGAAGCGTGTGTTGAGCGCAGAAACCGTGTTCTTGGGATGACGTTACGATTGCATAGTACAAGCGGAATAAGGGCCGCGGTTTTTCTTTTTACCGTCCCGTGTTTTCAACCAGGGAAATTTCCCGGCTGATTGGAACGGGCCCTAGGAGGGTCTACGTCCATGCCGTCCTTACACTTCCTACACATCGGGTGCGTTCGTGTGTACTTGCAGATGAACGTCCTTCTTTTGCTGTCGGAGGGGTGCCTTTGAGGTTGCCTGAGTAGTGTTGCACCGTTTAATAGCAAGGTGCCTGTCGAATGGGCAGCACGGTCTACGGTTAGAAGGCAGCGGATACTACCGTTTCACTGACTTGGTGCGTGCGCTGAGGTGGGAAGAAAACAACGACCGAAACAAATAATTTCTGTGTCGTGTTAGTTTCATGTGAGCAACGCATGCTTTTGACAGGCTAGGAGCCTCACGATACGTGCACAAAACGTGAGGAAGCCCGGCCACGTCGCCCACCTCACAATCGATCCGGATACCCCTCGTCGGGCGCTCTGTCAGCCTCCCCCAATCGTAAGCGCTGCACTCGGAGACCGAACACTCGTCAACAGTTGAATGCACCAAGCACTGCTGTTGAGGGATTTTGAGCCTCAGGAGAGAGTACCGGCTTGACACACTATTTCAGCTACTCTTCTGGCAAGCGGCGGTGGCCGGTTTAGTGCCGGTCCAACGTCTGGGCACATACCGGCACTAAATGGCAGGAAACATCCTGTACTCACCCGCCGAGCGTGATCCGTTTCCGACGACGGAACGATGGCGAGGGAGAGTGCTGCACAATGGTAACGTTGCTGGGGCCCGGAGCCAGCTCGAGAGAAGGATATTTAAGTGCCCGGAGCCGTGCTCCAACGGTATCTACCGCCGACTAGACACACGCGCGGAAGTTACAGCGGGGTGGTATGCATGCGAATGCGTACTCTGCTGACGAATAGCGCTGGCTGTCCTCTCCAGCAGGCTACCTTCGAGGGCTGCGGAGCAATCGACCGAGCGGCCCAGGGGGTGTGTTATCTTACGCAACGTATGGGGGGGGGGGCGAAACCAAAGCCTCAAGCTTCGTGTGCTTTACCCTTCTTACCTAATTTAAGAATCTTTACAAATACAGCTCTTGTTCGTAAAGCTCAAGAGTCTGTCATGGAATTATTACTCTTGCATCATCCTTTAGACTGTCCTGTATGTGATCAAGGAGGAGAATGCGATTTGCAAGAACAAAGTTTTAATTATGGATCTGATAGAGGAAGATTTTTTTTTTTTTAATTCTTGAGGTGACACTTGGGGGGGGGGGCGAGCATGTGCAGCGGTGTGCAATGTAAAGCCGAGCTCGATTGCTCCAAAACCGAAGAGGCCGCCAAAGGCCGAAAAGGAGTGTGGTAGGCATCCAATTCTTCTACAATTGTCGAGAGCTGCTGCTCATGAGACAGTCGATCTCTAGTAAAACCGGAGGCAGATTACCGGAAGGTTGGCAATCAGCGCACACAGGGGTGCGATCGACTTTCAAAGAATATTTTTCTCCACAACCAAGAGGGTGCGAGCGCCAACTGAAATTTGTCAGGAAAGCTCTGGATGAGATATTTCCAAAACCGCCCTTCTCGACAGTGGTACTGTAACCTCCTGGTTGTGGATCCATTACGCATAGAAAATCGTTCACACCTATGTGCGCTAGCTGACTCGAAACCTCACGGTGTACACACGTTTGCTGCTGACTGTGCACATGTTACGCCTGCTTTCAACGGTATGCAGGTGTCTACAAAATAACATGACTGCTGCTGTAGACTATTACGGAGGAACACAATTGTTGTTTTTTGTTTTTCTCCCATCATTGGACTCTGTCGTCTGCCCCTCTGGCCCCTATCCTCCACTTCTACTAGCTAGACGACCCAACCGGGGTCACATAGGAGGGCGGGGTTGGACCCCCTCCTGCGGTTCATGCCTGAGCTATTTTTATCGCGACAAGGGTACAGCAATCCCTTCCCTCGCGACTTACGAAGTCGATTATGGTTTACCAACAAACGAGCTTTGCAGCGCGTTGCTTTCATCCTAGACCAGATTTATGTAGTGAGAAAAAAACTTTCTCTGCCGGGACTCGAACCCATGACCTGGCCCTTAGCAGGCTGCGAGGCTACCCACTAGACCACCGGGGCGACCGGTGTGCAACAGTTAGGGGTGTCAAAGCGGCGGAATTTGGGGCCAAGAAAACGTCCGGTCCATTCGGCAAAATTTGAGGGGGGCACGCGGATTTGGTTCTTTTTTTGGTTCTTGAGAATCCCGTTGTTTATGCTGAATAAACTATACATCAAGTCAATTTGTTTGTACAGGTAGCTCTGCGNAACAGTTAGGAGTGTTAAAGCGGCGGAATTTGGGGCCAAGAAAACGTCCGGTCCATTCGGCAAAATTTGAGGGGGGCACGCGGATTTGGTTCTTTTTTTGGTTCTTGAGAATCCCGTTGTTTATGCTGAATAAACTATACATCAAGTCAATTTGTTTGTACAGGTAGCTCTGCGTCCACACAGCAGCATGGCTCTTCATGCGTTACACACACCTGGACACAGGTCCATCAGAGGTGACTGTAGGGTTGGATTCTCTTCAAGTTAAAGGGCGGACGAACAACACCAAAAAACATGCTTTTTTGGGCTCTTTGCTCCACGCCCAAGGCGACCTTTGCTCCTCTCGAAAAAGCGACCTTACAGCCCTCTACCTTGGGTTTACAGCTATACCACACAACAAACCGCATCCGAATCGCATCAGCCAACCACGAGATCTACATGTCTGAAAACGGCCCTTCCAGTGGGGCTGCAGCGCCCACACCAGCAGACCCTCAAAAAAAAAATCGAGGTCCGCGCCGTTCGGCAGCAGGAGGCGCGCTGCGCGAAAGCTCAATTAAAACAAAACGAAATTTGAAGAGAGGACGAGCAGCGGCGGCGGCAGGTGTCTGCATGGCTTCACCGCCCGGCTGCTGCTCGGGTGTGTCATGAGGTATGTGTTCTAGAGTGGGACCGCGCAAATTGTGTTGTGCTGTGCCCCATAGCAGGGCGCAAAGCACACAGGCGAGCCGCGCCCTCGCGCGTGTGCGTAAGAGGGTCTTTTCGGGAGGTCCCGACGGTTCCGTGCAATTTCATTGATTGGTCGATTTTCCATCAGCAAGATCCGAGGACGCTTTGTCGAATTTTTCCCTATAGGAAATTTTCCGCTTTGACACCCCGAGCAGTCCAGGTCTAAATTGCCCTGAAAAAAGTTTTTTTGATTTTTTTCTCTTACGCTTGGTCCGAAAATATATGCTTCTGTGGCCTTCAGAACAGATCTTCGGACACCCATAAGGAGGGCACGAGTATGCACGTGGGATCAAAAGTAAGCTCATGACCACAGCACTGTGTAGATACCTGAGTTGCGCTCAGAAGTTCAATATTGCGTATGGTACAAAATATGCAGCTGGAAATGGGCACCTCAAGCGCCATTTTTTCACTGGGAATTAGAGTCGGAACAGCCTGGCTCTGAATTAGCAACGCAAGCAGAACTTTTCGGAAACCCTATGAGTGTGCGCTCCGGGCAGCGTGCCCCTTTTTGAAATCCAACACGTCGGTGCCGAGCACTGCGCTGTGGAACAGAGGCACCTTGGGTCTGGTGCCTACGGATGCACGTGCGCACATGGTGACCAAAAGGAAGGGTCGCTATGTTGCGACCGGCGTGACAGCCAAAGGGAAGGCCAGGACGGAGAAAGCGAACTTGGCGATCATGCTGCGCGCGAAGGAGGCAGCTCTCGCTGTCCGCGAAGCAACCGTCGCCGCTCGAGGGGCCGCGATGGCGAATAAGCAGCAGCAGCAGCAAGGACCCGAAGCGGACACACGTACGCCCCAGCAAGAGGCGCGCGAGCAACAAGCTGCCCAGCAGAGTGACGACTTGGCCCCCAGGACAGGCTCCCTTCTGGACATTTCGCGGTCTCGAAGGGGTCCTCTCCCCTGAGTCAATGTGGTGGTTTGAGTCATTGCATGTTGCAGATTCCAAGGAAACGACAGTTTCATGTTTTCATTCGTTTTGTTTGGTGTCTTGCAGCTTGATCGTCAACGGTTGACGTGTTGCGGTCACATGATAACTTGTTAACACCAACAATACTTATTTGAGCATTTCTTTTCTCGCATGGCAATCCCAGTGATGCGGTTCGTTTGAGCTGTGGGTGGTGGACATAGGCAGCCAAGATATCAAACGACCTGGGCCAAATTTTCCAGCCGCCGCCAAGGCCAAAATTCGGCACATGTGGCGATTGTCCTTTGTATTTTCTTTCATGATGACGGCGTTGACACTGCGGTTCGTTCAAGCCATCGTGGGTTAACATGCATGAAAAAACGGCCGAGACACGCTGGGATTCGAGCCATAACTAGAATCTGCCCCGCGGGGTAAATTATGACATATGAGGCGTTTCTCTGTGGCATCGCCGACTTATTTTTTTCTTAATATCACACAACAAGTTCACCTCTATCTATAGAAAGAAGTCCAAGATAAATCAGCAATGAATCCATAGCGTGAGCGAAAAGCTACCTGTATGTCTACGGTTTCCCAAACAGCATACAACGATATCTCTCCTGTGGGTAACAGGCTCAACAAGGCAGTTTCGTAGCCATCTTGTGTACCTGTCTGTATGTTATGTTGGNGTCGTTAGACCATTGACCTCGCATCCCTACAAAGCCGGGACGGAGCACGCCGGGTTCTCACCGGACCAGGCTCTCACATCACCAAGCGCGAAGCGCCGTGATATATTTGGCGAGTCGCACGAAAGGTGCGCTGCATCCTGCTAAGGGTGCGCTGCATCCTGCTAAGGGTGTTCGGCATCTTGTGCTGTACGGATGACAGCTGCGTATGACTTCATTTACTTTCTGGTGCTTTCAC